TTAAATTTCTTTGAATTAGTTCATATTGACCTTAGAATGACTCTATTGTCATTACTAAGACATTTAACAATTTAACACAGATTGAAGCAAGGATTTTGAACAAAAGAAATGTAGTGGACGAATGTTGGTGTAGTGGCAAAGTGCATACATGCAGAGGCAAACCTTCTCCACGAGGCAAGATCAATGAAGACCCAAATCGAATTATTGTGGGTTGAAATCTTCACACAACTGTCAGCAGCCCTTAGAAATTATTGGGATTTGATTAGATTTCTTAAAGTGAGGAAATAGATTTGGTGACTCGCTAATAGATAAAGTGAGACGACTCATATACTCCAAGAGCATATTACGCTCCAGATTATCTGACCATCAGATGTACTCGGATGAGCTCCGACCAATCTCAACAAACAATTGTTTTTTTTTTCTCTAAAATTGAACTTTGGGTTTGAGTTTTGAGAATTGATGCCTAGGGTTTATCCATTAGAGGTTAGGGTATAGTTTGATGGCCCAAACTCAATTTGATTCATGGTTTAGACAGATATATCTCACTAGGAGTACATGCTCCTACGTTCACACCTATTATTTGTACTTTGATAATTTCGACTAATCAGAATCGTTAAATTTCATTTTAAGATTAAGGACTAATACCACTACAACACCCGAACTATATAAAAAATGTCACTTGTGTCCTAATTTATCCAATTTTTCATTTCTGTCTTGAACTACTTTTCTGTTAGTGTTGACCAGTGTTGACCGTTAATATTTAACAGAAATTCTAGTGTTGATGTGGCATCTGACGTGAAATTTTAAATTTATTTTTTCATTTCCCTTAACAAAATAACTATAATGAAAATAAAAAATTCAAGAGTCTTCGTCTTCCTCCTCAGGCGACGGGCGAAAGATCCCGGAGCGCATAAATCTCACCAGCGTTACACCTCCATTATGTTGTAATAATCAATTAGAGGTAGAGGTGGCAATTAGGATCCAAATCCACGAATCCAATCCAATCCATCCACCAAATTATCCACCTAATCCAATCCATTTAAATCCAATTCATTTGATCCAAATCCAATTGGATTGGTGGATTCATGGATCAATTCATGGATCCAAATGACAAATTACGATTTGGTACCTATATTTTTTATATTTTACATTTTGGTACCTAAAATTTATATTTTAATACAAAAAATTACATTGGAAAATTACATTTTGGTACCTAAAATTTTTCATCATGACATTTTAGTACCTAAACTTTTTCAAAAATTACATTTTGGTCCAAGCCTTGGATGTCATTTGGATTCATGGATCAATACACCAATCCATTTGATCCAATCCATGAATCCACCAATCCATTGGATCTAATCCATTTGATCCATTGATCCACCAATCCAATCCACGAATCCACGAATCCGATCCAATTGCCACCTCTAATTAGAGGGGTTGAATCACCTCTCGCCAAATTGATGGCCCAACAAAGGAGATCTGTAGCTTGAATACACAATAAGTCAATAATCAAAATAAACGCCCAATAAGGTGGAATGGTGGCAGCGGAGCCTAATCGCTTAATATTGGGGGTAGTGCTTTAGATTGAAGCCTTCACAAGACTTTTGAGAGCAAAAACCAGAGCTACTCCTTGTGTCACGCTTGACTGTGCAAGGGTTCTTCGTCGCCGGCACTCCCTTCGACTCGCTGTGCGCAGAACACCCCTGCTGGTGGGTCGTCGTCAAGTTTGTAGCGGTTGAGGGGAAAAGGGACGATTGCATAGGAAGTTGATACGCGAGCGCCGGCGGGAGGAGGAGACAGATCGGCGAGGCGGAAATGGCGGAGCAAACGGTTGTGAGAGACGAACAATGGGCGAGTGATCCGTTTTTATTACTCCCCGCTAAGCTTTCCTGTGAAAATTCCAGGAGAGGGGTGAGATAGCATGACTACCACTAAAAATGTTGGAAAAATGACACCTCTTATTAGTTATGGGATTATAAGATAATTGACTTGTGTTCCATTTAATCTTTAAAATTGATTTGTGAAATTTTTAAAATTAAAACCTAGAATCTAATCTTTAAAGGTTTAGGAATAGTACCAGGTGCCAAACTCTTGTCAATTCGAAGTTTAGATAGTGTTTTTTAACTCAGGGTATGTCGTAACCATAATTTTACCCAAGGTACAATAGAACCATCCATATATATATGGTTTAGTCTAGCGTACGCCAGACCTACGCTACCTTGTCGGACGTCCATCGACTTTTTTTATTTAGATCATCAATTAACCATAGTTTGGACATGGTATTATACACTTGTTGAAGTTTATAGTTTTAGGTACCAACTTGTAAGTTATCGTCACCCTTGTTGTCTATGTAATTAGGTCACCATTCGTGGATTTCCTTGTATATATAGTCGCTATAGCCCTTGTATTCTGTAAGTTGATTTGTGATTCTAGTGGAACCTATTTGTAGAGCACAACATCTCTTATGGATTAGTTTTGAGCTTCAGGGATACCACGTTAAAATTTTGTATTTTCTATTGTTCAACTTGCTATTGTTTACATGGTATCATAGCCTCTGATATAAAGGTTATGTCGTCTTCATGGGGTTTGGTTAGCTGCAACAGGTATCCTTCTCTTTTGCAGTTTTTGTTGGTTGGTCGTCGCTTCGTCGCTTTGAGTTGCAGCTAGGTTCTGTCATCGTTGGTGTGTTGGGCTGTTTCGGTGGTATTGATCGCTATTTATTGCAACTCTTTGTTTGGATGGATTTCTCTAACATGGACTTGATTTCAATAATGTTTGATGGTAAGAATTTTGCTATTTGGGAATTTCAATTTCGTAATTTTGTTGCTGGTAAGCGGATTCTCTCGGTTTTGAGGGGAGAAACGAAGTAGGGAATGCCCAACTGATCACATGGATTCTTGGTCGGTAGACATGCCGACTGCCCTCCGTCTATGTCGTTTTAGTACAAATCATGATATGTGAAGTCACATTTGTTCGACCTATGAACAAAACAGGGTTTGTCTTCATCTTTGGGCGGAATATGACCTTTTGATTTGTACTAAAACTGTTGGGCCCTCCTGCTAATGCCTCAACTGTTGTCACCGTTGAACGTGATTGTGCACGTGTTCTTGAGCTCCTGGCCAAGCTTCGATCTGAATTTTAACCTATTCGAACCTCCTTGACTCATCGTAATACGTTGAGAATTGAGGACATTGTTGCTGAATTGATGCGGGAAGAGACGAGTCTGAAAAGTCAATCTCAGGTTGACAACGTAGCTCTTTGTATGAGTCTGTCTTTGTTGTAGGCTGACCAGCTGCTCCTTCACGTCCTCATGTTCCTAAATCTAGTACTGGTGAGCTTATTTGTCACTTTTATCGCGAGTCTGGCCACGTTCAGATGCATTGCAAGAAGCCCAACTTCTGCAACTTTGTCATGCTTCCTTTGTTGGATCATCTTCGTCCCATGGCATAGTGTACCCTGACACTCTTGGAGATTCATACATTGAGTCTTCAGCTAGCCATAGTTCGTCTTCGTCCTTGTCTCTTGAGCAAATTTGACACTTAGTTCACAGTGCTTTAAAAGAGGCTCTTTCCTTAGCTTTTGCCACTACTGTTCGCCCTAGTAAGTCCCTTAGAGGTCTTTTGGACTTAGTCGCATTTAATCACATGACACGACATCATAACGTTTTAATACTTTGCAACCAATTGATTCTATGGGCCTCCAAGTAGCCAATGGGGCCACTATTTCTATCCTTCGGTCTAGTACAACTTATTTCGGCTCGGGCGTACTTCCCCACACCCTTTACATCCCTTGGCTCAGTCCTAATTTAGTTTCACGTGGGACAGTTGACGAATGATGGTTGTAATGTCCTCTTTGATTCCACTTGTTGTGGTGTGCAGGACCAGATGACGGGGATGGTGATCGGGAGAGGAAGTAAATATGGTCGGACTTATGTGCTCGATGATCTTCAAGGACTTGACATGAAGGGAGCACGTAAATATGGTCGGACCTTTGCACTCAATGATCTTCACAGGGTCGCTTGTTGGGTGCTTATGCCATGAACCTGGGAAGTTATTCCATTACCAAAGTTGAACTTAGGGTAGCCATTGAGGGTCTTGAGCTAGCATGGCGTCTCAGACATAGACAGGTGAAGGTGCAGGTAACCTCGTTTACGGCAGTCACCCTTCTTCTCAGCGAGGACGAGTCGACCCATCACCATGCTTCATCGGTTCTTGTGTTGCGAGCCCTTCTCCTTCGGGATTGGACTGTTTGCATCATACATATCTATAGAGAAGGCAACTTCTTTGCAAATTGTCTTGCTCATAAGGGCCACTTTCTCCCTTTGGGTGCTCATTGTATTTCTATAATTGAATCGGATATTCGGAATTGGGCCATGTACGATTTGGTTCGAGGGGCTCGTCCTCGAGTTATTAATATGAAGTATAGTTAGTTAATACTCGGTTTTATACACGTATATGTACCCGTACATATTTTATATGTTTAAAACTTCTGTATCTGTATTATTGTCAAGTCGTTTCATCTTTTTCGTTAATTTGATAGCTCCCGTACTAAACATGTATAAAACCTCTATAACATATTTAATATCCATATTTAATGAACTAAATTGTTAACTTTACAGTTATTTATATACTTATTTATTTTTAAACTAATTAATTTATATACTTATGACTAGTAACGTACTATTAAATATAATATTAATTTAAATATGAAGTAAAATACTCATATATATTTTATACATAACTTTCCTGTATAGTACATATATTGGCATTTAGCACCCATTAAAAAATAATTGTACAACAACCCAAGCCCAGAAATTGTGCCAACAAAGCATGTCTTGCATCATTGGAATGGGGGTTCTTCGGCCTGCCAAATTAAACCCATGGTCCCTCGCCGGTCCCTCACAAGTATAGTTCATCTTCTTGAGGATGAGGCCCAAAGTAGCTCTGGCCCAAAGTCTGACTGTAATTTTCGTCATTAAATGAAGTTCAAGGGCCGGGCCGGGCCCGGGTACAAACTTTAACCAAACTCGAGGGACTCGGTATAAATCAGAACACAATCGAAAGTGGCTGCGTATATAAAGCTTGATCGAGAGCTAGGGTTTTAGTTTTCCAGAGCAGTGCAGGAAGCAGAGGTAAGGCCGCGCCGCGAGAGGGAAATCCGTCAGAGTTTGCCGCCGCTGAACCAACATGGGTACTGATCCCTACTCTCCGCTCTGGTTCACATGGGGTAGACTCCAGGTCTTTAATGGCTGCTTTACAGATCGAATGCTTACCTGGTTTTGAATTTTTGATATGCAGGTATTTCCAGGGACTCTCTTCACAAGAGGCGCGCCACTGGTGGCAAGAAGAAGGTCTGGAGGAAGAAGCGAAAGTAAGTTACCTCTGCCTCAGCCAGATTCTAAGATTCTGCTGTTACCCTGTTTCTTTGTACATTCCAGAACTGGATTATTTTTCTTAGTTCTATTCTGCTTGGTTACTCTTGAGTAAAATGATGCCAGTTATATCATTTGCTATTTCCTCGTTTGAGTTCTTAAAAATAATCTCGGCAAATGGTCAGTCTCTTGTATTCTTTAAGCCTTCGATTCGGGCTTTAATGGCTTCCGCATCTACTGCTACAGTGGGCGCATTCTTTGGACGTTATCTTCTCATTTTCGGTTCTGATATGATTTTATTCCTGTTGATTAAGGTACGAGCTTGGACGTCAGCCAGCAAACACCAAGCTCTCAAGCAATAAGACTGTTAGGAGGGTGCGTGTTAGAGGAGGCAATGTGAAATGGAGGGCCTTGAGGTTGGACACTGGAAATTTCTCCTGGGGTAGCGAGGCAGTCACTCGCAAGACTCGTATACTTGATGTGGTCTATAACGCCTCAAACAATGAGCTTGTTAGGACACAGACTCTGGTGAAGAGTGCCATTATTCAAGTTGATGCAGCACCGTTTAAGCAATGGTACCTTCAGCACTATGGTGTTGACATTGGTAGGAAGAAGAAGACAGCTTCTAAGAAAGAGGGTACTGAGGTAATTTTCTTGATACAGCCAGGCTGTTCATTGTCCTTTTTCCTCAATTCTAGGCCCTAGGTAGTATTTTGGTTGTCAGGATATTCGTTTGTCATGAAATTTTGGAGTGAGTCTCGGCTTTCTTTGAAGTTTTCCTGCCTTCATTGGTATTGGTTCTCAGAAGTAGTAATAAGTGTGATCTTGATGTTCTATGTAGCTGGCACTTGATCTAACTAGCTCATTGCATAGCAAACTAAGTACCATTCAAATCTGTAAATATCATCTGGAATAGATTATGTGCAGACTACCCATATAATGATATCAACAACAGCATGGGAAAGTCTTTCGTTACTAACTTGAGCTTTTAGGGCAGTAGTTTGCTGGAGAGAACTTAAGCGATGGTTATAATCCTCATTAGATGTTATGACACTGATAATTTCTCACTGTATGATGATTATCACCTTCTGTTGTATAATTGTAGGAAGGAGATGCTGCTGCAACTGTTGCTCCTGAAGAAGCTAAAAAGAGCAGCCATGTTCAGAGGAAGATTGAGAATCGTCAGAAAGATCGCAAATTGGATGCCCACATTGAGGAGCAGTTTGGTGGTGGTAGATTGTTGGCTTGCATTTCTTCCCGTCCTGGTCAATGTGGTAGAGCAGATGGGTAAGCATAAATGCGTTTCGACCCTTTTTCCCTTCACCGACTGTGTTTGCATTGCATCTTACCGTTTTCCTATATACTGTGTTTGTTTGTAGGTATATATTGGAAGGAAAGGAACTTGAGTTTTACATGAAGAAACTCCAGAGGAAGAAGGGCAAGGGTGCTGGTACTGCTTAGAAGTCTCTCTACTTCAACTTAAACCCATGTGTCGGGCACCTAGCATTTTGTCTTTTTGAGGCTATGAAGTAATGGAATTGATACTTTGTTTTCACTACCTAGTGGAACAATGGTTGTTTTGTCATCCTAAATTGTGGTGAGAACTGCAGAGATTTTGCATTTTGGTTTTGAAGTCGGTTTCAATTCATTGCCCTTTCAGTTTAAGCCCAGTTCAGTTTTCCTTACGGGATCGAAACACCTATTTCTATGTTACGTTTCTAAAACTTGAAATTAGAATCATGGTCCATGAAACTGTATCGGATATCGTACCGGAAAATTTAGCGGTATGATATTTTATGATAAAACCGTGGTTTAATCGTAGTTTAACCGTTAGATTGTTAAATACCGCCTGCCGGTTTAGCCTCCGATATTGGTATTTCGTGGTTGAATCGCCGGTACGGTACGGTTTCATGGACCATGAATAGAACTCTAATCATCTTTATTCTTTAGGCTACATTTCAATGGAAGGTTTGGACTTTGGAGCTGTGCAATGCATTGAGAGTTGTTAATGCTTTGTCATTCGTAAACTCAATATTATGAGAATTGGGGTGGCTATATTACTTAATTTTGACCTGGCCATTTGACAGGGATTTTTGATTTTAGAGGGTATAACGTATCCAAAATATGTGAGATGCAACCATTAAAATATTCCTTGGATTCAACTTAGTAAAAGAGAGGTACTTAACCACTTCCGTATGGGGAGAAGCTCTGGCAGTTGAGTTTGGCTTACAATTGGCACGTCAACATCAGCTAGCCTTACCCATTGTGGAAACCGATTGTCAAGTTGTGATAAACAAATTGAAATCGCCGGAGAAGGTCCAAAAGGAGTTGGGAACGGTGATCAGGAACATAAACAGGCTGGTGGCTGAGTTCGATGAAGGGCACGTGCAGTATGCTAATAGGAATGCCAATGAGGCAACACATATTATGGCTCACACGAGAGTAAGATGAGACATAGCAGATGTATGGTTTGATAGACCACCGCTGAATTTGTTGGATAAACTTGTTAATGATGATGTAACGCCGTTTTCGTCTTAATAAAGCTGAAATGCAAGTTCCTATAAAAAAACACGAAAACCTAGTGATAGACCGTCATTTACACATGTTTTTACCCCCATTCTTACACCGTTTGAGGTGTTGATTCTCGTGTTTTAGGCCGATTTCACGCTAGGTTGTGCTTGTTTGTGATGTTTCAGGTCCTAGTACGTGAATGAAGGCTTAGGAGCGAGTCTGGGGTCGATTGGACGAAGAACGGACGAATGGCGAGGTTTTTGGGAGCTGCACGGGCAGACCAGGGAGGCTGCACGGCCGTGCACGTGAGCAAGTTGGCCGTGCCCTTTGTGCCGAGGCCACGCACGGGCAGACCCTGAAGATCGCACGGCCGTGCACCCTGGCCGTGCGAGATGGCTGAAGCTCGACTTAATGGATATGCCGCGTTTTGGAGTGCACGGCCAAGTGGGTGATGTGCACGGCCGTGCACCCTGATCGTGCGAGTCGGGAAAGCCTGGTTTTAGAGCCTATTCCGAGCCAGAAGTGGGAGAATCGTGTTTTGAGAGCAAAAACAGAGCCCTAGAGAGAGAAAGTACGAAGAACACATCCTAGAAGCTGTCTTAGAGCTGGATTTCATCGAATCGAGCTTGGAGATCGTCATAGGAGTGAAAATCATCATCCCGGAGCAGATTATCCTCATCGTTATGAGTATGACTAATCCGATTCTTGTTTTCTCTTCTCTCTCTATGGAGTAGAACCCTTCTCTCACTTGGGTATGAAGAACCCTAGTTCCTTGTGTTAGGGATTTGATTGTAATGACTTGGGATGATATTACTGTTTGATTTTAATCGAATGACGCATGTTTAATGAATTGATTTGAGTTTGATCAGCTTTTCTCAATTTCTGCTTCAACCTGAGATAGATAGAATCTGATTAGGTTGTTAGAGCCTCTTCATTCGATAGTAGGAGATTGGCTATACGAGAGTTAGCCAGTTTACTGCTCTGTACTGGTGTTCTTGGCGCCAGTAGTGGAGTTCTGTGTTCATAGCCTCAGCTTTCTATCCCGGTGAAGACTAGTCGTCTGCCGGGTAGTTAGACTGAGAGGGCTTGGTCAGCTTAAGAGATTCCAAGCTACTGTCGGATCTTCCGCAGTCTAATCAACAGTAAATCAACCCAGGGAATTGCAATTGAACCTAACTAAGGGGCTAGGGGGACTCAATCCCGAGTGACTCTTGCCTGCTTTAGAAACCCGAACAAATTACTGCTTTCTTGTTGCTTTTACTTTTCACAACAATCACTCGAACTAGTTTGCTAGATAATAGAGAATCACGGAGTAAGCAGTAGATCTAGACCCCGGGTTGATAATTAAACTTGCCTATACTGCAGTCCCTTTCATTGGTTACACTTGGCCATTGTTAGGTGTTGTGTTTTAGCGTGTCAAGTTTTTGGCGCCGTTGCCGGGGACTTCTAGATTATTGGGGAAACGTGAGAATTTGTTACTCTAGCTTTTATTTACTGCATTTTATCTCTTCCACCTGTGTGCCTTCACGGGTTGCTTCTGCTGATTGTGTGCAGGTAGTGCATGACCCGTAGCCAGTCGGGAGATCTACTACCATTAGACCAGGAGCTTGAACGAACTTGTAGGAACTTCAAGCGGGCTCTAAAGGCGCGACTGGCTGCGGAGGAGGCGCTAACACAGCTGCAGTTAGGAGAAGAAGAAGAAGGAGAGATGTGTGATCCGCAGAACAACGATGTGATCCCCGGGGAGCAGACCATGGGATCCTACTGGACCGCTAGGGCTGCGGACATGAGGTCACCCATTCAACACCCTCAGGTCCCAGCCAACAACTTTGAGGTGAGCACCTCCGTGATCACCATGCTGCGCGGTTCAGTAGTGTTCCGTGGTAAGGAGGGAGAGTGCCCTCGATCACATCTCAGGCGATTCCACGAGCTCATCGATGGAATCAAGATCAATGGGGTACCAGCAGATGCCATCCAGCTGAGGTACTTCCCATTCACTCTGGAGGGGCAGGCCAAGGAGTGGCTAGACACTCGACCTCCGGGCTCCATCACCACGTTCGCCAACCTGGCGGACAAGTTCCTCACCCGCTACCATCCTCCATCCAAGACTGCTGATCTCCAGAAGCAGATTACACATTTTTCTCAGGATGAGGATGAGACCATTAGGGATGCTTGGGAGAGGTACACCAGCCTCTTTCTCAGGTGTCCCAATCATGGTTTCAATGATGCGTTCAAGGTGGGCACCTTCTATCACGCCCTCTTCCCGGAGGACAAGCAGCTGATCGATTCGGTTTGTGGCGGGAACATGCTGACCAAAACCCCGCCACAGCTGAATCAACTCTTTGAGGAGATGGCGGAGAACGGCTATGACTGGGGCACTGCCAGGAGATCGAGACGAGCACCTGGACGGGGTGTGCATGCTGTGGGCACCCAGTCATCTGATTTGGTGCAGGTGGTATCGAAGCTGGTCTCAGCTATCGATCGTTCCGGGATGATTCCAGGGACCGGACAGCAGCAGGCGATGCTCTGCCAATGGTGCGAAAGCACCCATCATACGGTGGAGGACTGCCAGGCGATGAAGGAATCAACCACACCCCAGGAGCAGGTGAACTTCATCAACAATGTCAGGCGCAATGACCCCTATAGCAACACGTACCATGAGGGGTGGCGCCAGCATCCTAACTTCTCCTGGGCTGGGCCAAATCCCAACCCACCAGCTCCCCAGGGACCACCAGGCTTCCAGCGGCCACCATATCAGCCCAGACAGGGGCAATTCCAGCAGCAACAACAGTCTCTCTATCAGCCCATGCAGGGGCATGCTGCTCAATCACAGCCGCGGCCTTTCCAGCAGCCAGGTGCAGCCCCTGCTGCCCTAGTGCAGAATGATCAGATGGCTGAACTGCGGGACTTGGTAGGTTCTCTCGCCAGTGCTAGTGCTCAGAAATTCAACACCTTTGAGCAGTTCATGGAGAAGGCCTCGGGTAAACTCCTGGCTCTTGAAGCTGGCCAGAGGAACACACAGGCCGTTTTGCAGGATATCCAGACCCAGCTGGGGAGCGTGGCCCAGACAGTGGCTCAAAGGGCTCCTGGTACTCTACCAGGGCAGACCATTCCTCACCCGCCAACCCCGGATGAGCGCTGCAATGCCATCATGACCAGGAGTGGCAAGATGACTGTTGATCCCCCTGCTCGGGAACCGGAGAGAGAAAGCCCTGTTGCAGCATCCCCAGCGGTTGAACAAGAAGTAGAGAAGGAGGTTGAGGTGCCTGCACCTAAACCGCAACCAGTAGTGAAGGAGTATGTCCCTAAACTCCCTTTCCCTACTCGGTTGCACAAAGACAGGCTGGAGGCAGAGTTCGAGAACTTCATGGCCATGCTAAAGAAGCTGAATGTCCAAGTGCCCTTCCTGGAGGCACTATCGCAAATGCCGAAGTATGCAAAGTTTCTGAAAGAGCTTCTCTCAAAGAAGCAGAAGTTGAGTGAGCTGGCCACTGTGGAGCTCAGCGAGGAGTGCTCGGCTATTCTGCAGAACAAGCTTCCGCAGAAGAAAAAGGACCCAGGTAGTTTCACTATCCCGTGCTCTATTGATAAATTGCATGTAGAGAAGTCCTTGGCGGATTTAGGTGCTAGTATCAATGTTATTCCATATAAATTGTTCATGAAACTAGGCCTAGGTGAACCCCGTGCTACTAGGATGACCCTTCAATTAGCTGACAGATCTGTAGTGCATCCTAGGGGTATAGTGGAAGACCTTCTGGTTAAGGTTGGCAAATTCACATATCCTGTGGATTTTGTTATCCTGGACATCAGTGAGGACACAGAGGTGCCTCTTATACTGGGAAGGCCTTTCCTGGCCACCGCCAAGGCTCTCATAGATGTGCATGATGGGACCTTAGTGTTGAGGGATGGCGAGGAGCGAATAACGTTTTCAGTTGCTAACACTATACCTGCTTCGTTACCTCTGCATGCTGTATCTCACCAGGAGCACGAGTCTGTCGTGTATCCTTCTGTGCTGCCTATTTTGCAGGACCCGCCTCCCACACCTTCGCCGCCACTCCGGACCACTCCGTCATCCAAAGAACAGATCAAGGAGGAGTGGCGGCCGAAACTGCAGGCAGCTAAGCCCGCTCGAACGAAAGCCGGAGACCACTATGAGCTGGTCCCGCCCCCACCTTGGCCATCCGAGTATTCACTCGCTTGCATCCTACCGGATGGCCAAGTCGAGCTGGCAAATGCAGGTGGCCACATTCGTCGCGTGCATGGCCACCATTTGAAGCTGTACCTCAAGAGCGATGTGGATCCGCTCTTGAAGGCACCTGATCCTACACTTCCCTGAGCATCCATACTGGCGTCCAGCTAAAAGACGGTAAAGAAGCGCTTGTGGGGAGGCAACCCCACCGAGGTTTGCATTTTCTTACTCTTTTTCCTTTGATTTTGTGTGTTTTTGAGTCTCGAGACGTTGATCCAGAGTCCAGTGTCG